TTCCATTTGGTGCTAAGCATTTGAATCCTTTATGACATATAATGTATCTAACAAATATACAAAGTTGAGATTTGAATTGAAGTTTATGTTTATTATAAGGCTTAAGATTTGGATAATACTCACAACCAAAAACTTTTAATTTAAAATAATCTAGTTCTTTTTGAAAAAAGGTTTTAAATGGAGATGGAAAATTAAAAGATGATGCAGGCAAAAGTTTCTACTTCATCAATGGTGTAATGGTTTGTCTGAGACATAATTGAGACAACAAACGAGTCATAATCTTCTTATAATCATGCTAATATAGCACCAATGTGTTGGGCATCCATGAGTGGAGCTCCAACCGTTGCAAGTGTATTAGAGACTTTCTATATTTACAACAAATATTCAGACGTTGGTCCTTTTCTTTTATGCTCTTGAGTTGATACTACAATTGGTTTATTTTTGCTCTTGTTTGAGATGCAAAACATTTTTCTAACTTACTCCAAATTTGATATAAACTCACCCAACCATTCTAATAGTAAAAGTTTTTTTTTTCATGGATCCTTGCAGCCAAGACATGAGAATTGAATTTTGTTGCTCCTAGTTTTGAAATTCTCCTAAATTTTTGCTGACTGCACGATCTTCTTTTGTTAAGAACCTTTCAAGTAGTTCATTTTCTTTTAGATGCTTTTGATGCTTGTAACTTTTGATCACCGCAAGAATGATGCATCCAAGATAGGAAGTTTTCATCATCTAATTTTTTTGATAATGGGTTTGAAAAGGTTTGAAGCATGACAGGTGGATTAGGGATTATAAAAGTCATGGATCAATAAGCTCTAATGTTATAAAAGGCATCAGACTAGAGTATAACAAAAAAATGAAAGAAGAATGAGTAAAAAATAAGCATTAAACCCTCATTTTAATCCCAAGAGAGTTTGCGTTTGGCATTTTAACTCCTAAAAAATTAAAAATATCATGTTAATCCCTGACTTCCATCTCCATCACTCATTTTATTTCTTAAACGCAGACTCCATTAACAAACAGTAACAAAAACTAACATGTCACGTTGAATGCCATGTCAGAAGCCCAATTGACACAAATGATGTTGTTTTGAAGGGTTGAGAAAATGAACATGGCAAATTGGTCCCAATTAGTAGAAATGGCATCGTTCCATGAAATTTGAAAGTGACCTAATTGCCCAACATATCATTTCGCGTCACTCACTGGCAAACCATTTCTGATTTAATCCTCCAATTTCATTTCTGAGTCGACATTGGCAAATGGCATTGGGTGTTTTATGTTGTTAACATTGGCAAATGGCGGTTTTCTAAGTCATTGTTAGGTTTGATCCAGCATTGTTTTGGGAAACTTGGATCTTAGAGATACCCTTTGAAGAAATGGGGTTTCTTTGGTGGAATCCACGTTTAGGGTTTGGTGAGTATAAAAAAGCATTGGGATGAGAATAAATGTGCAAGTCGGAGTTAGAAGATTTTGGGTTTATGGGTTTAAATACATGGGAGAGTAAGGTTCAGAAGGTGGGCATGGGTGAGTTAGGATCCAAGTCAGATTTAGGATTTGGGTCATCAAGGTCTAGAATGAAGATGTGGATGATACAAACAACTATATCGATGTTACTGTGGACTTGCATTGTTCAATTAATAGCTTTGGGTGACATGTGGGGGCCTAGAGTTATAAAAGGTTGGCCTTCTTGTTTTTCTCATGAATCTGCTGTCAAAGCAATGGATATTGAGTTATCTTCTCCACGTCCATACCTCTTTTACCTTCCAAGAGTTAGTACTTTGTTTTCTTCTATTTTTGTTTTCAAACGATTTTATTATATACCAATTTTCAGTTATTTCACTTCTTTAATGTTTGTGTTACTTTGTACTTCAGGACTTTATAAGAATAATGAGTACCTTATGATCTTTTGCAATAGAGAATTAAAACAAATGAGATCAGTTGTAAGTGGCTGATGTGTGTTTGTGTTTTTGTTCTAGTTGGCATGTTGGCTCAATGAAAGGAAGGAAAGAACCCTAATAATAGAAGGAAGAAACCCCAATAGTAGAAGGAAAGAATGAAGAAACCCTTCAAAATGACACTGTTTCTGCCAAGTGGCTTCTGACATGGCACTTAACAAAACATGTCAACTTTCTGTTATTGTTTGTCAATGAAATCTGCATTTAGGGACTAGAATGAACACGAGATAGAAGTCAGAGACTAATGTGACATTTTTAAATTTTTAAGGACTAAATAATTAAACGCAAACTCTCTCGAGGACCAAAATAAGAATTTAGTAAAAAAAAAAAAAGATAATGTGAATTGCGTTATTGATCTAATTTTTTACAACTTACAATAAAATTATATATATATATATATATATATATATATATATATAGACACACACACACAAATTACATATGAACAAGAAAATAAACTGAAAAACTGCATAACTGAATTAACTAATTTTTAAATGTTATAACTACTTTCTTTTACAAAATCATAAATTTTAAATAAAAATTCTAATTAGAACTTGTATGTAAATGAACATGATCAATGTTATTCAAATTAGTTACTTGCACATGGAGAACGTCAATATGGAAGTAAAGCTTAAAGGCATCTTGAGAAGATGACAAGTTATTGAAAAGACCTTTTTAAATTAATAAATATATTTTTTAAGAAATTATTTTTGCAATACTAACCTTTAAGTAGTAAAATATAAAAATAATTGTAAAGTATAACTTATGAGTTGGACTTTTATTGTCTAAAGTCTATTGTAAAATAGATCTTATTTGACAGTAAGATCAATTTTGGGTAAACTCTCACTTTAATCCCAGAGATATATAACTTGACTATAGTTATTCCCTAAAATTAACAATTGTCAATCACATTAGTCTCTGTCTTTAAAAGATGTTAAAATTGAGTAATAGATTTATGATTTTTCACATTAATTGAGATGTGACAGTGACACAAAACAACATTTTAAAGTATTTCAAAAATAGATCAATTTCGTCTCTGAATTTAACATTTTCGGGCAATAAGGTCCATCTTCGTCTTCTACTTCTCATTCTCCTTCTTTCATGACATCTTCTTTCTTCCCCTAGTGACTGGTGCAATAGATTATCAGGTGTAGGAACAATAAAACCAACATATCCATCAACATGTTTGAAGAAAACTATCCCTTGTTAGCCTCAAAAAAAGTCTTAAACTGTAAAGAAATTATTGTAAGGGGCTATGAGGGTTTTATATGTGACAAATTTCGCAAGAATCCACACTCTAAATGCACTCATTTTTGTCAATGTCCTACATATGAGACCTCTTCACTAAATTGATAACAATTGATTGTCCACCCATATATTTGAGGCTTGGATCTAGTGGTTCAAGAGAGAATAGTCAAGATGAAGGAACTTTGCACTGTAAACATCATTGTATTGGTGGTCAGAGAAAGGAAGAAGATGTCATAGAAGAAGGAAAAGTATAAAACGAGAAGGGACCTTATTGCTTGAAAATGTTAAAATTCAGAAATAAAAATGATCTATTTTTAAAAGATTCTAAAACAATGTTGTTTTGTTTCACTATCAAATATCACTTAACATGACAAATTATAACTTGTTATTCAAATTTAATATCTCTCAACAGCAAAGACTAATGTAATTGACGATTGTTAATTTTAGGAACTAAAATTTAAAATGTAAGGGATTAATTTGACCGACATTGCATATTTTAAAGACTAAAGTGAATGTTTACTCGAACAATTTTAATGAATTCAAAATGTTAAGAACTAAATTTTAATATTTTTTTATAGAAACTAAATTTAAAAAGTACAACATTTTTAAGAACTAAAAATATGATTAAATCTAAAAAATGTATAAATAAGATAGATTAACAAAGATTGTTAAATATTTACAAATGAGAAAAATGTCTGATTAAATCTAAAAAATGTATAAATAAGATAGATTAACAAATATTGTTAAATATTTACCAATGAGAAAAATGTATAAATAAGTTAGAGAGAAATAATCTAAAAGTATATTTAATCCTGAAAATATGTAACATATAATAGATGATGGGAGTAAATAAGGAACAATAATGAATAAATAATCAAAATTCAAGTTAAATATTAGTTTTAGGCTTAAATTTTTTTAAAATTATGTAACTTTTAAAAAATATATTATAGCTTTTGTATTTTAATGCTCACTATTTATGATAAAATCTAATAGTTTTGTTTCTCTCATTTCTGGTTTCATTTATGAGGGTGTCTATTGCTACTCTTATGCATCTATTGTCATTTATATTTAAATAATTTTTATCTAAAATACTCCTGCTATTATAAGAAAAAAAAATAACAGAGAAAAATTACTTAAATAAGAATAGTAATTCTTACTTAGGAGTGATATATATATATATATATATATATATATATATATATATATATATATATATATTATGACACATTCAATAACTTTTCATTAAAATTAAATTTTATCAATTATACCAATTACTTTTGTAATAATATATTATTAACATATATGTATATAAAATTTTATAAATTGGCACTCAATTTGAATAAATTTCTTCCTAAGTACTTACAAGAAAAAAATTAAAATTAATGATACTGAATTTAGATAATTTTTTTAATAAATACTTATAGGAATAAAAATTTGTGGCAACCTACTTATACTTATCTAATTTTTTTTTTATAAATTACTCTCATTTAACTTGTTTAAAACTTTAAGAGATAAGTTACTTTTTTAATTTATAAGAACAATTTTATTTATAGTTTATATTTTTTTCTTAAGTCAAAATTTACTAATAAAAAAGTTAAATAAGAGAGTTTTTAACAAAATAAAAAGGCATAAGTTGATTTTAACTTATAATAAATTTAATTCATTGTATTTTCTATTTTTTGTATTTTACACGTACTTATTGAGAAATTTACTCAAACTTTGATCTACTTAATAGGAACTTTAAATTGAGCGAGTAATAAAAAGTTATTGAAGTGTCATTTTACTGAGCTCTTGACACTAGTATCGTTTGATCCTAAACCTATGTATGTATGAATTTCAAAATCAATTCCCAGGACCGTGAAGAATTCCAAAGCATAAAAATCAATTGGGGTGAAGACAACTAGACAACAATGTCAAACACGCACACATACGCCAAAATCAAATGAGCTACTTTTGCTGCTGTAGGCATCATCCCAATGCATAAGTACCAAAACAACAAATTTAATGTGTCTCAATAGCAAGCTCACCTATTAGTTTGTTTCTAGGTACTATTTATAAGGTACAAATTCGATCAAAGTCTTGTCCTGTAGTTAATCTCTTCAAACAACTTGTAAGCCAATAGAAAATATAGCTTCTGGAGATATACCTAGAAGAATAAATGGTGAAAGAAATAAGCGAAAGAACTACAAAATAGCATGAAAGAGTTTCAAGGAGGAGTGTTCAATTCACCATTGTCTTTATTGTGATCATCACTGATTGATTGCTCTTGGTTCAGGTTATGTCCATTTAGAGCAGTAATAGGGAATTTATCAGATGTTCCACCTTGACGTCCTAAACCTGCTCGAAATAGAAGACGCTCAACAGGCTCTGAAGGTTGAGCTCCAACAGAAAGCCAATACCTAAAGAAGATGAGGAGGATCAATGCTATCAAGATCAAGAATACGATGGTGGGGGTGGTAAGAACTACATGCAATATATTTTAGTATTTTACATGTTTCAATAGCCCCAAGTCTACACAAAGAATCAAGATTGTTAACAATCACATGCAAGGCTTTGCAAGCAAATAATGAAGCATGGTTCTTGCAGTTATTACTTATTACTAATTTGGCCTTATAGGTATACTCACAACTAGATAAACTACCATTAGAGAAAGTTACTTACTTCACTCTTTCCAGTTTGAGACGCATTCTTTTCTCATCATCTTTGCCTATACAGAAGTAATGAAAAGTTAAAGAATATTGTAAAAAACAGGCATTAAATTTGTTCTATTATAGGTGCGTATTAAAAAGAGGGTTTAATTGCACTTTTATTTTTTAAAGGAAAAAATTGTCTACCTTTTATTAATGAGAAATTTGTATATTTGAATCAAAATTTCCTTTGAATAAGCAAATTTTCAACTTCACCAGATCATTATACAGGAAGTTAAGGATTTCATGATAACCTGCTACAGGATTGTAGAAGCCTAAAACTTCAAGGTGCTTGCCATCTCTTGTTGTTTTGCTATCAGTAACAATGACACGATAGAATGGGTGGTTCCTGCACCCAAGCCTTGCTAATCGAATCTTCACCACCATGGTTGCACTCTAATTCTACAAAAACAATAATAATAACACCAAAAACCTAAACTGCTGTAAACAAACAAAATGCAGGAAGTACACATGAAATGAGTAGTTTGGTGGCGAGGAGTTGAAGCTACTGTTTGGGAATTAAAAGTTTATTTCTCCAAAATTAATTCATGTTTTCTTTTCATAATAGTTCCTGAAAGACGATATAACAAAAAGAATTACTATTTATCTTGATGCACATGCAAAGCTGGGGTGGTGTTCTGGCACTCCCGAGTTGCTGATGGTAGGTGTTGTTCAAACAGAGACTTACCACACAAGATGATATAAGCAAGTGAAGAGATAAGCAACAAAACCCAAAGCATTTGATATTAATATTTCTTTCACTCATCCCCAAAACAGCACAAAATTAAATATAAGTAATCACTAATGAAAGGAATAGAGTTGTCATTAAAGCCCAAACCTAGTCCTAGCCCATATGAGTTAGGGCCAAAAGGCCCACTAAATCAAAAGCCATGTGGACGAAAAAGCCCACAGCATAAGGGCCTTATGGGCAAAAACTTAATGGCTTTTTTATTTAAGCCAGGGATACAGTTAAAGCCAAGGCCAATTATCCATGTCTTTGGGCTTTGCAATCCTTGTAGTTGTGAATGGAATAATTCATTCATACCATATTTAAAAGATCTACCTTCATACTCTATAGACAAACTATATTTTCATAGACAAAAGGTTCATATTTTTTCTATAAAGAAAAATTGTCATAAGAGGCACGAATGTCAAAGGTCCATTAACTCAAAATGCCAAGAATTGAAAACTTCATTAACCTAGTTCTCTCCTTTTCCATCATTGGCTTACAATGAACTAATTTCTAAGATTTTACTACAAGAGACTAGACTTTCCAAGCTTTCCAACAAGCTAAAGATCACACAAAATGGAGTTTCCTTGCACAAGTTCTGATCCTTCAAAGTAGGCTGATCTATATAAGAATTCAGCATAGTTAAGTTCTGCACTTTTATGCACCAAGAACAATACTTATGGTTAAAATTGATAAGAATTAACATATTAAAAATATATCTTATTATCTTTCAAACCCCACTACTTTCACATCAAAAACGATTTCCTAACTCATGTTACCGATATTCAAAGTAAACTTGTATATATCAGAATATAGAGCAGGACAGCTATCTTCACAACATCACTGGGGATTATGTAGAGGGCAAGAAATTCCAAAATTCTCCAGAATCAAATTATTGCGTAAGCTTTCAAACAAAATTACTTCCACTGCAAAATTCATTTTATAACTCAATGTTAACGTGTAAAAGGGCAGCCGTGTTCTCAAATATATCATGAGTTTTGTACTCAAGATGAAATTCTAAAATTTTTCAAATTAATACTACCATAAGCAAGCTTTCAAAAAAGATTTGTTTCACTAAAAACCGTTTTCTATAGCTCAAGTTATCTCCATTTTACAGCTGCCTACCAGTATAATGATCCTGCAAATTTACATGGATGATAGTGAGTCCTTCATGTCTTTCACATCTATGTGGATACCACCAAGCTAGTAACAATGCATTATATATCTCAGTCCAGCTTATTTTGATATCTAGAGGAGAACGTTCATGGCTACTTGAATAGAAGTAGCCACTTCAAGCCATGACACTAGGAAGAGCCGTAGATGTAGACTGATGGCAGATAGACAGTTCTTGCACCTAGAACAAGCTAGTATTCCAAAATAGAAATGCATCCATAAAGCACATGAATTTAAGCTACCTTTCCAGAAGGCAACACATATGTCTACTACTCGTAATTCTAAATTTGAAATTGACCATCAATATGCAAGTTATAAAGCATGAAACATTATTTATCAATCAACAAATTTTCATCACAAAATGACCTTAAAAGTGTTGTGCTACATAAACCTTCTTAAAAAACAAAAGATCTGTTTCAACTAGAAACACCAAATTGTAGCATAGGCAAAAGATTGCTGCTAAAATGTACCCTTCTTTACTTCTAGGAATATCATGAAAGCTATTCATCAAGCATTGAGTCAAGGAGCTAGGACACATCTAATGATTTACTGAAAATGTTGAGTAAAAAACTCCATAACCATAGCAGAATAGTACAAGAACAGATGAGGAACTAACTTTAGGCAAGCAACGCACGTTCAACACAGGTAAGGGGAGGAGCCTAATGCGCCTAACAAGCCTGTAGCAACTCAAACAGATACATGGCTTGACATTTAATGGAGCTATGTATTTCTATAATTATAAAGCAAACAAATTCTTCAATGTTGTTTACTTCACTTGTTTTCGGGCTATTAAAGGAGAACAAAACTGTAGAATAAGCAATCTATCTGCAAATAGAAAATAATCGATTCACTACAAGGTGAAAAAGTTGACAAACACAAAGAATAAAAAAAAAAAACTTTTAAATAAGATATTATAGGAAAACTCAAAACAAATGCATAGGCTATGAATTGAGCTTGCTTTGCAATTTTGCATCAAACTTTCGTCTTTCAAGTATGCCTTACTAGCAGACCTTTTAAGATAGATAGCTAATGAATAAGTATACAATGACAACAAAACGAACTCAAAGAAAAGAAAATTTCTGAACACATATCAATTGGTTGTCCAATAAATGAGTCTTACATGCTGCACAATGGTCTAAAACCAAAGCTTTCATAAACCCAAAACAGAACAGCCGTACAAGTGTTGAGCTAGCAAATGAACAAACACTAAGGGAAAGTAAAATTCATGACAGTGAACTCAGATTACAACCGCAAAAAGAAATGACCATTTTCTAGTCGTTATATAATATGTAGCGTAACCAAACAAATTAAAACAAGTGTAGTGGGTGCAGAATAAAGAGGTAACACTAAAGGAAGACTCGAAATTGAAGTAAACGACATGAAATGGCAGAAAAGTTGAATTGAGAGTGCGAGAGAATAGATTACCTCACGCAAGCGGAGATAACTTAACAGTGAACACAATAGATTGTGAATATCCTCCACCAAGACCCTCTCCCTTTCTGGATAATCTATCTTGTGTTTTACTTTCATTCCCCTCTTAAATACGATGATTGTCATCCTTACACAATTATCCCTTTTTTTTTTAATATTTATATAAAAGAACTATTTGTTTGTTACTTTATCTATGATATGTATCAGATTATTTATATTTAATATGTATTTTAATTAAAATTTTTAACATCTGTAATTAAAAATTTATAAAAGAATATTTGATCAATTTTATTATAAAAAATATAGGTTTAATAAAATGGTTATGTAACAAAATCTTTAAAATATATGACTATTTTTAAGAAATTTAATTAATTTTGATTATTTTAATATGTACGAAACTGCATATAATAAAAATTTATATACATTATGTTTTTATTAAAATTCACGTGATCTTAAATAATAATAATGTTAAACATTATAATTTTTAATAAAATTTACTATTTATTAAAGATATGTTTCAAAAAAATATTTTTTATATTATTAAATTTAATTTAAATAAAATAAAATTTATTATATTTTTCTTTAATTTTATTTATTTATTTTTTATTTCGTTTCAATTCTTTTTTTAACTAATAAGTTATTAACCAAATAACTATCAATATTCTATTAGTTAGTTTTTATGATTTGATAGTTATAATTTTCTATTAGTTTTAGTTAGTAAGTCAAATGTATAGTTATTAGTTCAGTAATGTATCGTATGTAAATGTTTTCATTCGTCGAGAGCTTTTATATAGTTTTTAATATATATAACATTATATTCATTACTACACATATTATTCTAATCTTAATTCTTTCATCATTTTATGGTACTAGAGATTTTTTTTTAAGAGTTTTGTTGCGCTCTCAAAATCTACAAATACTATTTGTACCTTAGCAATATTTAGGAACACTTCTGGTTTCACCTCAACTGGATGGAGTAAACTACTACTTATGGAGCAAGCTCATGAAATGAGCTTTATTAACAAAGAACAAATACAAATTTATTGATGGTTCATGCCTCTTTGATCTTGATGGCCCTCTTTATGATTCTTGATAAAGATGTAACACAATGATTGTATCTTAAATTACTAGATCATAAAATCAACAAATTGCATAAAGCATGATTACATTGACAATTTCAAATATATTTTAGATGGATTCTCAAAAAGTGATTATTTTTTAATTTTAGACTTTTTACAAGAAATACATTTGATCCATGGGTCAACCATGGAGAAAAAATGATGTCATTATATTTTACTAATCTCAAAACCATATGAGAAGAATTGAAGTCCCTAAGACCAATTTCTTCTTGCATTTATGTGGTGAGATGCAATTATAATCTAGTCAAAGCAATCAAGAAATACAAAGATATAGAGCAAGTTATTTGCTTCCTCAATAAATACAATTCATAGTCAGGTACTCCATATGGAACCATTGCCAACCATCAATAAAATGCTCTTTCCTTTTAGTTTTATAAGAACAAAGACAGGTTGGTAAAATCTTAAGGAAAAATCCAAAATTTTATCCAACTCTAGTGAACAAAACACAAATTAGAGACCCCCATTTGGTAGAAGAACATTTAGAAATAAAGGAAGAAGCAAGGTTCATTAAAGGAAGTCATTACATAAAAACAAACACAAACAAAATCTGCACATTTTGTGGTAAGGAATTGACGAACATATAGAGGTCTTAGTTTTAACTTAGCTACATTAACTTCATTTATCCCAAAATTAACATCTTCTTCATCAAATGAATTAACTTCATTATTTTTTATTTTTTTTTTATCTAAATTCACATAAGCCACCTTATCTTTTTAAACAAACTTCTCAATTTTTCTTGAAACAAAATTTCTGGCCTTGAGTTGCTTAATTTGTCCCACTTTAGTAGTCAACTGTGACATATCTCTTAATTGTTGATTGATTAGTTTTTTTCCTAATCGAGTAACTTAGACCACCCGGTGTCATTTGAACTAATTCATATTCTACAATTTGGATGAAACATCTTGCTCTCATTAGCCTAAATCTACTCAAATAGTCATTGATAGATTCATTATGCATTCTCTTAACGTTAATCAAGTTCATCAAACTAACCTTCGTTTCAACATGAAAGAATTGTTCATAAATTTTTTTTTTAATTGATTCCAGTAATGTATCGAATTCGAGATTAATATAGTAAACCAAGTAAATGCACCTATAGTTAAGAACTACAAAAATATTTCATTTCTAAATCTTCATTGCTAGTCAAATCCCCCATTCGTTTATATACCTTGCAATGTGTTTGACAATAGATTCTTTGACAAATTTGGAGAATTTGGAAACTTTCCATCTTCAGGTGATTCAACTTGTAAAATCATCTTGAAAGATGTCGAAATGAAATAGGGTCTATTAGTATACCCCACATGAAAGTTGTGTTGATTTAAATCTTGTTCTATAATATTAGCAATATTTTAGCGATGATGGTGATGATGCCCCCTCTGCATTGTTTTGTTAAATTATTTTTAACACTTGGTCAACATTTTAATTTTGAGTAATAAGGAGAGACAACTCGAATTGTGGGTTTTTCAATTTGTCTTGGATCAGTTTGGTCAAGATTACAGATGAAATTCATCTCACCCTATAGGGTCTTGTGGTGCTTCAAAAATATCAGCAATTTGCCACATTTGCACAACTAATGCTTGATAATTGATATTAGTCATTTTATTTATCAGGTTAATTATAGTCATTTTATAGTTGTCATTTGTTGGGTTAATATGTTGACCATTTTGTAGATACTCTCATCCATTTTGTTGTCTTAAAGACTATAAGACAACATTTGAGAAGGAATTAGTAGGGATTGAATCCCTACTCGATGTTCCTTATGCACTTAATTTGGTCCCGTACATTTTGCCACTCACACTTATCACATGTGAAACAATTTGGTTCTAAGAGACACAGTTATCATTATCAGATTAGCATAGATCATTTGGTGAGTTCTTAGAACTTTTAAGTTAAACCCAAGTAGCAAACTATATGGTGGGTCTTGCCTAAGCCTTTTATTGAATCCTACATTAGGATTCAATAAAGCAAACTATATGATAATGACACTGTTGGTAATACCATGATTGACACTATATTTGCGTTAGTATTAACATTATTATTATCTTCTAAGATTGCACTATTACCTTGTTTGAGTTTCTTGAATCACCATTACTCACATTATTTCTTTTACTTCTATTATTATTATTATTAGTCATGACTCGACATTTATTACGCAATAATTTATTTGTAAAATAAAGTTATAAAAAATTAAAGAAAACAATTGAATTACAATAAACGAACATACAACTTTTAGCAATCAACAACACAGTACTGTTTATTTCTTTTTATGTCAGGTCTAACTTATGTAGATCGTTGACAATGCTAAAATACTAAGTGCAAGTGTTTGGAGGTAAAAAGTGTAACCTCTTGTAACTATGAAATAAAATAATATCTATAGATATAATCTCTAATAACTGTCTAAAACACATTAATGTAAAATATGAAGTGCCTAAAGCACATTCTTGTAACTGCTCTTTCACATCACTTGTGATTTTTTACCACATGCTTTGATTTGCAACTATTCATAACCACTCCAATGTAATGACATTTTAACATAAATCTTCATCTTCTCTTGGAACCTTTAAACTTGATACTTGAAATAATTTGAGAAATATCCTCATCCATTCTCTTAGATGAAACATCTTCAATCAATTCTTGATCTTAATTGATGAAGTCAATATATTTTAAAAAAAATCTAAAAATATTCTTTTTTTCAACTAACTTTTGACATTTTCTTTACCTTAAAAAAAATTATTCATGATTTTGACAAAACTTATCAAAATGTCACTTTTAAACTAAAATCACATTTTTTAGATTATAAATTCTCATAAAAATTAGTCTAAAATATCCTTCCATTTTGACTAAAAACCATATTTTTTTAGTTTATACTTTGCTCAAAATTTATTAAAAAATTCATTTTTTTAAACTAAAAATCAGTATTTTATTTTCATCGTTATTTTACCAAACTTGTCAAAAAAAAAAGAAGAAAAATCTTATAAAGATCATGTCATACAAGATTTTATTCTAAATATGTACTTAGTCTATTAAACAAAGTCATAATCACACTTTTTTTTTTTTTAAAGAAGATGCAATACATTTTCTTAACTTCAGAAATTTTCAATTTTTTTTTAAACATGTTTTTATTTTTCAAGTGATTGTAGCATTGTCTTTCTGAACTCTTTTGAAAACTAATCAACACATTCGAAAAATCATTATGCTCACCAAACGTAATCATGCTAACTACAAGTGAAGTTTTTCGAGACTGTGTTGTATTTTTTCGTGCCAACGAGACTTCAGATCGAATGTCTCCTTCAAAACCAGTTAGCTATAGACTTGTGTATACGTAAAGGGAAAACGAACAGCCAACTATAAATGGTAGTAACTGCACATATACATGCACTTTTCTTTTTACTAGCACATTTTTCTTTATATTTTTTATATATAAAATAATCATTACCCTTAATATTATATTAAATATATATAATAAATATTGTAACAAGATATAAATATTTTTTACCTTTAAGATATTAAATCAGTCATAATTAATTTAATAAAAATATAATATGCTTTCTCAAATGGACGTACGTGATAATAAACATTTTACTTTTTATTCTTTTAAGATACTTGTTTCTTTATTTTGGTTATTCAAAGATTTTTTACATTAATTTGATTCATTAATAATAAAATAGCATTAATTTAATTCATCAACCGTAAAAATAAAAAAAAAATAAAAAAACTGTGGCACCTAAAAATTCACTTGATATTAATTTAATTATTAGAGTATAAAATATATCATCATAAAAAAATTTAAAGTTTAAAAATATATATAAAAGGATAAGAAACATGTAAATGAAATAAATAAAAAGTTAATAAAAAGATAGTTGATAAATGATATGTTTATACAAGTTTAACCAAAGAGAATTCAACCTTGTTTATATTTATTATATCTTTTGGTCATTTTCAGTTGCACAATTATGAAGACGACATAGTTGACAATCACAGAAAAGGAGTAAATTGTGAAAACAAATTCAACAATTTAAAAGTTTAATTTTGTTTTAGTTTATTCTCAAATATAATTTGGAGACAATACATTAAATAGGAGAACAACTTTTATTTGAGGGTGACATAATTAGATTATTATCCTTAAATTTTATATGAAATATCAAAATTAAAATATAATAATCATGTCTTTTAAATGAATTAAAATAATTTTATTTAATTTGACTAATTTTGTCAGATACAGTATAATTTGCGGTGTCTTTAACTGAGCTAAAAGAATATTTTAGTAATTAACTATTATTGTGATAGATTATAATAGAATAAGATTTATGTTTGGTAATAATTTTTTTTGAGAAGCGATAATAAACTAATTTGATTCTTTTGAATTTAGTAAAAACATAATTTTTATACAGTTAATTATAAAAACCCTTTTTCAAAGAGAAAAAAATAAATATAAAAGTTTTATAATTTAAAAATTTTCCCTAAACACCCAGAGGTTGGAAAAAAAATTATGTATAACTTTTTAATCATTTTTAGTATTATCGAAAAATAAAAATCAATAACATATCTTAATAAATCATATAACAGTTCCCAAAATAGCACTAATTTTAATTAAAGTCAATACTAGTCATCAAAATATAACATTATTTTGAATTAAAAAAAAAAGACATAAAATCTAAGAACTGCGGTTAAGTTTTAATAGAAAAAAATTTGAGTCTCTCGTTCAATATTGGCAGTACGGTATATTCACTTCATAAAAAAGAAAGAAAGAAAAGAAAAGAAATGCCGGCGAAATTGGTCGATGGTGCATTTGGCCAATGCGGTGAAGAAGTATCATCAAGCTGGCTTGCTTCACTGCTACCTGGGAATTCTCGTCCTCGACACCAATTTCGATCCAACAACAATAATTAACGCTTCTTTTCATTTTGAAGACAAAAGCCACACACACTAACTCTCCAACTCTTACGTTAACCCTCAAATTCTTTCCCATTACTTTGATGCTCTTCTTCTATCTCCCCTCTTGACCCAGGTTCCTACTTCTCCCATTACTTTTTCTTTACTTCAACCTTTCATCTCACCTGCTTTTTCTCTTTTTGGTTGTTTTCTAATCTATCAACCCAATCCTGGTTTTCTTTCTTTTTTAGTTCTTTTTCTTGGTTGCCTTTATTCTTAACTTTGTGTAATTGTTAATATGTTCTTCAAGGTTTTTTTTTTCTTCTGCTGTTTTTTTTTTCTTTTTATTTTTCTGCATTCATTATTATGAGGTATAACCTGCTCCGGTTTTTTTCTTTGATTTTACAGTCTTTGTTTTTCTGATGGGAAAATAATTTGTTTATTTGCGTGTTAATCTCCCGATTAATTAATTTCTATCAAGTTTGATTTAGTATTTGGTTCATTATTTTTACTTTTTTTTTTATATTATTTTTGTTCTCTGGATTATGCACATTGAACTTGCTATGTGTGAGTGCTGTTCTTATTGATTTGTTCAAATTTTGTAAGTAAATATGAGTTATGTGATGGAATAGAAGAGAACAATGAAAGTATGTGGGTATTGATTTGTCGAATATTTCAGTTTTTGTTAAGCTTACTTTAGTATTTGGTTTCTAAACAATTAGTATTGTGTCTTTGAAATAATTCCAGGGATTCATGTCATCATGGATCCAAAAACAAAGAGGAGAGGTGTTGTGGAGAACGGTGATGGAGGGGAGGATTTGGTTCTGGCGACTTTGATAGCGAATGGGGATGATGTTGGTCCTCTTGTCAGGCTCGCCTTCGAGATGGGGCGGCCTGAGGGGCTCCTTCACCAGCTGACTTATGTGGTTAAGACAAAGGAAGCTGAAATTGAGGAGATGTGCAAGACTCATTATGAGGAATTCATCCTAGCCGTTGATGAGCTTCGTGGTGTGTTAGTTGATGCTGAGGAGCTAAAGAGCGAGCTCCAAAGTGACAATTTCAAGTTGCAGCAGGTTGGCAGCGCCCTTCTTGCGAAGCTTGAAGAGCTTCTTGAGTCTTATTCTGTTAGGAAGAATATGACTGAAGCTATAGATATGTCTAAGAACTGTATACAGGTGTTAGAGCTTTGTGTGAAGTGTAACAGTCACATTTCTGAAGGTCAGTTTTATCCTGCATTGAAGACTCTGGATTTACTTGAGAAAAGTTACATGCAGAATGTTCCTGCAAATGCTCTCAAAATGGTCATAGAGAGGAGAATTCCTGTGATAAAATTGCACATTGAGAAGAAAGTATGCAGTCAAGTTAATGAATGGATGGTCGACATAAGGAGTTCTGCTAAAACTATTGGGCAAACAGCAATTGGTCGTACTGTGACAGCTCGCCAAAGGGACAAGGAAATGCTAGAACAGCAGAGGCAGGCTGAGGAGCAAAGTATTTCAGGAATAGGGGATCTAGCTTATACATTGGATGCTGAAGAACTTGACGAAGATTCAATTTTAAAGTTTGATCTTACACCGCTTTATCGTGCTTGTCATATTCATGATTGTCTAGGTATGCGAGAGAAGTTCCGTGAATACTACTATACTAATAGATTGTTACAATTGAATTCAGATCTGGAGATATCTTCAGCACAACCTTTTGTTGAATCATACCAGACATTTTTTGCTCAAATTGCTGGATTCTTTATAGTGGAGGATAGAGTCCTGAGAACTGCTGGTGGCCTCCTGGTAGCTGATCAGGTCGAGACAATGTGGGAGACGGCTCTAGCTAAAATGACATCGGTGTTGCAGGAGCAGTTCTCTTGTATGGGGTCTGCCCCTCATCTTCTCCTGGTGAAAGATTATGTCACTCTGCTTGGGTCTACTCTTAGACAATACGGATATGAAATAAGCACCCTTCTTGATGTGCTTGATAGCAGCTGTGACAAATACCACATGCTTCTTTTGGAAGAATGTAGGCAACAAATTGTTGATGTCTTTGGCAATGACTCGTATGACCAAATTGAGATTAAAAAAGAAACTGACTATGAGAATATTGTTCTGTCATTTAATCTTCAAACATCAGATATCATGCCTGCATTTCCATATGTTGCACCATTCTCCTCCATGGTACCTGATGCTTGTCGCATTGTGAGATCCTTTATAAAAGGCTCTGTTGATTACTTGTCTTATGGTATACATATGAATTTCTTTGATGTAGTGAGAAAGTATTTGGACAAGTTCCTGATTGATGTGCTAAATGTAACATTACTAGAGACAATCAACAATGGCAGTATCAATGTACCTCAAGTCATGCAGATTGCTGCAAACATAGCTGTCCTCGAAAGAGCTTGTAATTTCTTCCTTCGACACACAGCCCAACTATGTGGCATCCCAGTCCGATCAGTTGAAAGGCCTCCAGCTACTTTAACCGCAAAGGTGATCTTCAAGACGTCCAGGGATGCAGCTTACATTACCATAATGGGTCAGGTAAATGCAAAATTAGATGAGTTTATGACTCTTACTGAAAGCATTAACTGGACTCCTGAGGAGACAAATGAGAATGGCAATGACTACGCACATGAGGTGATCATTTACCTTGATTCTATTATGTCCCCAGCGCAACAAATTTTACCCTTGGATGCTGTATACAAAGTTGGGAGTGGTGCTTTTGAGCACATTTCCAATTCCTTAGTGGCTGCTTTCTCTAGTGATAGTGTCAAAAGGTTTAATGCAAATGCAGTTGTGAATATAGATTATGATCTTCAGATCATAGAGAATTTTGCAGAGGAAAGGTTCTATTCTGCTGGTTTGGGAGAAATATATAATGAAGGTAGTTTTAAGAACTGCATGGTAGAAGCGCGGCAGTTAATTAATCTTCTGTTAAGTAGTCAACCTGAGAACTTCATGAATCCTGATATAAGGGAGAAAAATTATTATGCATTGGATTATAAGAAGGTGGCTTCCATCTGTGATAAATTCAAGGATTCACCAGATGGCATCTTTGGAAGCCTTGCTAATAAAAATGCAAAGCAAAGTGCTAGAAAGAAATCAATGGACGTGCTCAAAAAGAGACTTAAGGATTTCAATTGATAAATTTTGGAAACATTATTTCATGGGAAGTAGGGTATAACTGAAGTTTTCTATTGTGGATGTATAACTTCATGTTGAATGTTTCCATGTTGTTCTGACTTGTCTGTGCCTTAAATCTTTTCTCTCTATATTCTGGTTATGTAGTCCATTTAAATAACAAGATATTGCCTTTCCATGGCACACAAATGTTTATTAGAGCTTGAATGAAGTGCTTTCGGGGTTTCTTATCTTCATTTGACTTTATTGTTTCTGCACCATTGGGCAACTGGAACATATTTTGATCTTGTTCATTTGCAGCTTTCTCATTTAAGTATCGTTTCACACTTTCTCTTTCTAGCTTATGTAGTTTCTGGTGGCTATTCATTCTTGTTGCATATTCTTACCGATATGGCACTCACTTTGCATCATACCCATGTTATTATTTATCTGTCTAGAGGAATAAACATCAGAGAGACTAAAAATTTAATTATTTTCTTAGAATTAACTGCTAAACTTACTAATTTAACCATTAGTAATGAGTTTCTGCTTAACTCTTGGATTATTTAAATAATATAAATGTTATATGAACAAAAGAGTATTAGAAGAATAATAACTGTCTCAAATTTTTTTTTTTAGACAGATAAATAAGAATAAATTTCTTCTTCCCTCTAGACAAATAAATAGGAACAAAGATAATATATTTTTGCTACTTACTATCGAAGATTGGCATTATTATTCAATAAAAGTTGTTGTGTCTATTGATCGTAAAGCAAAACGAAGTCAACAAAACTCAAATTAAATTAGCACTTCTATGTACAAACGCCATTAATGCTGCTCTTGGTCGTAAAGGGTATGAGCAGGACAGAGAATGTACTGTTATTTAGTGGAAGACTACTATTAGTATATGGTAATTTGCATAATAATAATAAAAAAAAAACTCTCACAGTGAAATGATTATTTCCTTCTGTTAATGTCATAACATTTCTTTACTTAAATATGTTCAGAGTTTTTATATTTCTGCGTGTTTTTAGTTTTAATTCCTCTAATTTGTATTTTTATTTTTTTGGTTTCTAATGTTTTTAACTTTAATACTTTTGATTCTTGGTATCTATTAAATGATGTCATTTTTTTGGACCGAGGAATCAAAATGAAATATTCATAAAAATACAAAGATAAAAATAATTTTTTTAAAAGGAATTAAAATAAAGAATTACAAAAAAAATAATATTTAAAAGTATATTTAAACTTGTTTAAAATAGAAAGTAATTTTGATCTTATGGATTTGTTTGGATGGTAGAAGGGAAGTAAAGAAGTTAGAAGGTATTATTTGACTGAGGGAAAAGTAAAGGGGGAAATGGGGTGTGGTTCACTAAAGAAGCATAATAAAAGTTGCAACGTATTAAGGAAGAAATTTATGAAGAACAAATTATGATCAAGATACATGATACGAGTGATTTTTCATGTCATGGGAAATATTAAATTAAAATAAAATTTTTAAACAATTGACTAAAAATATTTGTATAAATATATTCAAATTTCAGAAATTTTAAAAAATTACAATTATTAATAGTAGAACTTTATAATATTATAAATAAAATTAAATGAAGAGATAAGTTTATTGGTAGATTTATTATAATATTATCAGTAGATTTATTGCAATTATGTTAACGAAATTATTTTTAAAAATGAGTTAAATTATTGTAATTATTTATTCAAATGGTAAGACACTTGAAGAAACAGAAGGTTCAATGTTTGAAAAATATATATACAAATAAATTTTAAAATTAAAAATTTTAAAAGATCAAATTGTTTTAAGTATTATCGATGAATTTATGATTTTTATAAAAAAATATAGTAATTTTTAAATATATAATAATAAAAATGTAAATTATATGATAAATACTTTTGAGCATCAATTACAATGATTGAGTTTATTTGTTGCTATTAATTTAGTTAATAGTTCTACAATAATTATTCAAAACAAATACACATGAACTGGAAAAACATTGGGATACAAGTTTGTAGTGTTTAATTAATTAATTTTACAATAATTTTATTAATTTAAGTTAAAAAATTATACATTTTTAATAATTTTGACTATAAAAATTAAAATTGCAAATGTCATTATATAATATTAGAATACATATTATTATTATCACTAAAATAAACACATTTTTTTAATAAAATATTTTATTATTTTCATTTACAATAATAACATGCGAATATTATATTTTATACCTTTTTTCTAATTTTTTGAAACGTTGAATATTATAAACGACTCAGTACCATAACAAATTAATCATATAAAAAATAACAATATTAACATAAATTACTAATTAATTTATTTTACAAATACTTACCCTTTTTTTCCTCAAATTTTCAAAGAGAAACTTCCCAGGTCTTTTCTTCTTTGTACAAAGCGCGACACGTGGCAAACACACACTTAGCGCCTCTCTCCTCACCTATGTCGAACGCCGTGCTATGAAGCATTTTGAATGCGCGTTTTGCAGTTGCCAATGGATGGAGCAAGCAAGCCATATAGCAATAACCTGTTACACACAATATTGAAGTTTTAATATGTAACATGAGGTCAAAATTCACCACAGCAAACTCAATTGGAGTGCTAAATGCTTTGCCTCTGTTCAGTTACAATGATCGGGTTTACGTGTTGTAAATTTTAAAGAAAGAAATTACAAAAGTTTTATTTAAAATCAATTAAAAATACAAATTCAGATTGAAGCAGAAATCGATATTTTTACAGTAAAATTATTATAAAAAAAATACCCAAATAAACTCAGGATCTATTTAATTATCCAAATAGATCCAAATCCTGTAGATGAAATTTGGCCACTCAAAATTTCCAGAGAACCAAATTCTGAGTTGACTTTTTTTTTGTTTTTAAATTTTATTTTATGTTTTTATATAATAAAATAAATATTATTATTTAAATTATATTTATATATTTATATTTTGTTAAAATAAATATTTATAATATGTTATTCTAATAAATATTTATAAATATTTTGTTAGTTATATATAATAAAATAAGTTTTATTATTTGAATTATGTTTATATTTTTATATTATTTAAAAATAAATAAAATAATAATAATATTAATTTGAAATGTTTATTAAAATTTATTTGACATATTTAAGATAATAAATAATATTTGTGTTTTTCTTATTATATTATTTAATATAATTTTGATTTTTTGAAAATGATATTAATATTATATTCTAAAATTATATTTTTGGTTATTTAATATTATATTTTTTTAAAAAATAAAAATTATAATAATGATTTATTTAATTTTATATATTTATAAAATAAATAAAAATATTAAATAATAACCAGCTTATTTATTTATTTTGAGATATTAATCTTTATTAAAATTTATACATAATTATTTATTTAAAAAAATATGTTATTAATATTAATAAACATAACTAAATAATATTATGTAGATATATTATATATATAATTATAGATTTAATATAAATTAAAAATACTAAAAATTTAAAAGTTGCAATAACATTCATAAAATTAAAAATGACATTAAGAAAATTTTAAAATAATAACAACAACATAAATTAATGGTGGGAACTAGAAGCTTGAGCGATATTTGGACATGTCTTTCTTGTGTGATCAGGAGTGTGATAATAAAAACAATTTTTTGTCCGACTTTGCTGTTCTTTAATGACCATATTTGTTCTTATCCTATTGGACTTGGGTCGACTCTTTGAAATTCTTTTCAGTTCTGGATTTGGACACAAAGTTAGGTCCGTATAAGTTAGCTAATAATTTTTGTGTCTGAGTTCTCCAAACTAACCTTCATATACCTTAGAAATTTGTTGTAAGGTATACACGAGAGATATGTAGATGTCAAAGTTGTGGTGTGTGTAAACATGAAGCAAGTACATGCGAGCATGGGATGTAAACTTTTTGAAATTTGCCACAATCACACCATATTTCATCTAACTGTACTATAAATCTTCATACGGATCAAATTTTTGTCAGATGTTGCGTTTCTTTGACAAAAAATCTAGTGCTTGTTTTGTTAAATGTGATGACTCTATGAGTGTTCGCCTTTGACTGTGCATCTTGAATTTCTTTAGTTGCAACCTCCGAGTACATATGTTTAGCATTAATCATTGCATCTACTTCCCTACTTCTGTCAATGAAGAACTTATTGCAATGGGTGTATGTTGTCATGACCATAAAGCAAATTGGTAGGTTTTTGGTTTTCTTCAAGACCGAATTAATTGACTCCACTAAGTTTGTTGTCATGTGTCCCCAGCTTCGTCCGTTTTCCTATGCCAGTGTCTATTTTTTTCTTGGGATGTTGTCCAACCATTGTGCAGCTTCAGGATTATTATCTATTACTATATTGTAATAGTAAAAGAATTTCGGTTCAGTTATCTCATATGCTAAAAATAAGATTACAAATTAAATTAATATAACTAGCTAAGCAATTGTATAAAATATTAATGATAATATAGAGTACGTAAAAAATTAAAATTATCCATATTGACGACATTTTTCTTCAGTGCAGCGTTTTTGAATCGTCGCATGAAGTTTTGTGCAATGTGTCTAGTGCAATAGACATAGACAGAAAACATGTGTGGCATCCTTTAAGCCTCATTATTTTCTAGTGTTGCTCTTTTGTGCGCAATATAGCGCGACATCTCCAGGCACAGTCGTTGTAAACGCATTCCACGAGAAACCTAGTTGTGTTTGACATCTTCACCTTGTAAGTGCAATGATTGACAATGTGAAATCTATTTATAGCGTCTTACACTTGTTCTTTTGTTAGGAAGCGCTGACCAACAAATAGTGTTCCAGGCAGATACACTACCATTTCATGATCAAGGATATAGCCAAACTCAGAGTCATGTTCTTGTATTTGATTGGGAAAGTCTAGAAAATGTGGAGGTGAGTTGTATAATGGTAATAGTTGTGATGATGAAATATTTGGAAGTAGGAGGGAGTCTTCTTCATCATCCTATTGTTGAGATAGAATTTCATCTTCGTCCTCACTATAAGGATCAAATATTTCGATTGAGAGACCTACAATGGCATGTTCTTTGATGGGGATTTCTTCAAGAGGCTAAGAGGGTAAGGTTTGCTCAAATGGTTGGGAGGGTATTTCATTGAGGTCCATGAATGGACTAGTTAAAAGTTGTGTGTAGGACTGAAAGTCAGAATTCATATCATATATTGGAAAAGATAGATTTATGGTTTCGTAAGTTTGGTAAGGTGAAGGTGAAAGTTATGATGGCTAGGTTAAGTTTGTAGCAAATGTAACATATAATTTTATACCTGATTAAAGTTGATTTAAATCGTGGATGTTGAAGAGTGCCTCGACTTCTTCATCATCGTTCAACTCAACACATGTGTAGTTGCTAACTCCCGAGCCAAGTCTAATTGGGTAGCAAAAATGTATGGTTGTCACTCTTTCATTTTCGTCTCGGTTGAGTTTTGTGTGAATGACTTTCTTGAGCCTTTGTAGAGCCACTCCTCTTTTTAGATGTACCAATTTGGCTAATGATGAGGTGAACATGACTCCTTCATTAGGACATTGGTTAATGACACCATCAGAGTGAACAATGACATAGATTGAAGACATTTTTAGAAGGAGAAGATTCACAAGAATAAGGAACAAGCATAGAAGGTTGAATGAATAAAATGAACACGAATATAACTATTTATAATGGTAACATTGAATTCTCAGTCATTCAATGCTTTATCACGTTTTATGAGTGATGGTGACCTCTCCATTCACGTAGACGAAGAGATAGTGACTTCTTAGTCACCCAGACTAAGAGATAGTGACTTCTCAAGTCACATAGACCAAGAGATAGTGACTTCTCAGCCACGCAGACCAAGAGATAGTGACTTCTCAATATTCTAAAACTACTTTCTTGTACCAAAGTTTATCTATAAATATATTCATCTAAGGCCACATGTTTTCATTTAAACTTGCATCTATCTTTGTTCTTCGTTTCTCTCCGTCTTTGCTCCAATTACTAAAAGTGTTGTTCTCGAAGCAAAACAAATACAGATCTGCCTTTATTGGAAGAACGGTAAGTTTTACACATTACCATTATTAACTAAATATGTAAATCAATATTATACATATAATGTTACTAATTTATTAATAACTGCAGAAAACTGAAAACATGATTTCATCTTTCTGTCATTCAATGTCAGAACCTAGTTATCTAATTGTTCTTATACTTGAACAACTTGATTTTGCTGAGGTAGCAAAACTAAGGCATCTTAAGGTGGATCACGCATTGATAACAACTTTGGTCGAGAGGTGGAGATTTGAAACTCACACATTCCATTTTCTAGTAGGGGAGTGCACCATAACCCTAAAGGATGTTGCACTTCAACTCGAGCTAAGAGTTGATGGTTTACCAGTCATTGGTTTAACAATGTTTGACTGGGAGAAAATGTGTGATACATATCTCGATATCGTGCCAGTCAAGGGAGAGTCACTTATTGGCTTTATGTTAAAACTGAAGTGGCTGAGAGACAACATGTTGTCATTACCAGAAGAACCATTTGAAGAAGAAGTTCACGCCCATTGTAGAGCTTATATACTAGGTTTAATTGGAGGTGTTTTGATGCCTGACAAAACAGACAACAAAGTACATCTTATGTATTTAGCTTTATTAACTAATCTTAGAAGAACAAGATGATATAGTTAGGGTTCTGCTTGTTTAGCTATGTTATATAGGGAAATGTGCAAAGCCACAGAAGTTGGTAGCAAAACAATGAGTGGTTGCTCATAACTGTTAATGTCCTAGGCATGGTATCACATGCCATATATTGCGCCAATTTCTAGTAATTCACCAACATACCCTTTCATGTGCAGAAAGAGCGGGGATAGAGTACTAAACCTCACAATGATGTTGTAGGGTACAGATCAATGTTTGATCACATTCAAGCTAATTAGGTAATTTTTCATATTTATTTTCTTATCTTTTACACATAATCTTAAGTAAAAAAGTTAAATTTATTTGTAGTTTTTATAGGCGCCATATCAAGACTTGCAAACATCAATACCCAAAGAAGCATATAGAGATGTCCAACTGTGGACTTCATGTATCACCATCCTTTGTTTTGCAATTGTTGAATGATACCAAACAGATAGAGTAAAATAACAGTTTTGTCTCTTCTAAGAAGTCCCTTCTCCACCGAATAATTTGAATGACCTTCACAAAATTGACATGAGAAGAAGACAGGATGAAAATTGGGTTACAAGACATGCTCAATGGATAGAAATATGGAACAACAGACGTGAGCTGACAATAACGTGTCATCTAATGTAAGGCCTATTATGTCACACACAAGAATACATGGAATGATACATTGCCAATTTTATCTATTTTCTATCTATGCTACCACTACTACAAGATCCAAAGTGGAGCGACCAACAATTAGGGACTATCAACACATTTGAAATTGATACGATTTCCACACCGTCGTACCATAAGACTGCATCAATTCTTCTGAACATTACGCTAGAAGCAAACATAATTAATACAAAACATCTGTTTGGAACAACATCAGAGGACTTTTTTACAAACTTATTTTGAGTTGATTTTACAACTCTATTTTCAGCACAAATTTACATGCAGTCTCTTTAACAACCGAATTTTGCTAATGAACCTGGTAATTCATCAAATGCATTCTAACAACTAGACATTCATGATGATCCAAATCTTCTGCAAGTTCATCATGAAATCTCAGAACAATAATAACAACGACGAAACCCACCACGTCACAGACTCACCCTCGTTGTGGAACTGGCCATTATTACAGAGACAGTTAATTATTAATGTTGTTATGAACTTGTTATCATCTTTATTAATACACTTTGTTTTTATCAATGTTACCTTACTAATATGAAAACGTTAATTTCATAATATTTGTCTCAAGTAAAAATAATTAACTTATAATATAATATTTTATTTACTTTTTAAAAATAATTTTTTTACTCTCAAATAAAATTTATTAAAAATTATAATAGTAAAGTTTTAGGATTTAGGGTATTAAAAATTATAATATTAAATAATGTCATTTAAAAAAAACTAATTTAATTAAAATAAAATTTTTATTCAAAATATCATTTTATCATACTAATATTTAAAAATATTAAGTCAAAATTACATATTTAAATAAATAAATAAATAGAATAATATTTAATATATTTATTTAATTTTAAAAAATATAATTATTATTCTTTAAGTATAAATAATTTAAGCATTAACATTATTATCTAAAATAATTTACTTATTATTTAATTATTTTAATTAATTTTTAAAAATATAATTTATTATTTTTTCTAAAAATATTATTTATTATATCTTAAATGTGTTTAATAATATAAAAATATAAACATAATTCAAATAATAAAACTTATTTTATTATATATAACTAATAAATTATTTCTTCAAATAACATATTATAAATATAATTTAAATAATAATATTTATTTTATTATATAAAAACATAAAATAAAATTTAAAAATAAAAAAAATTAACTCAAAATTCAGTTCCCTGATAATCAAATTTTAGATGGCCAAATTTCATCTACAGAACTTGAGTCTATTTAAGTATATATATATAATTTTACTGTAAAAATTTTACAAAAACCTTCTCGAATTTATAAAAATAATTCAAAAAAAAAAAAGCTTTTGATATTCTATCTCTTCATTTAAATGACTCTAGAAAATATCCTTGTTAAAAATTTAACACTGACAGATTATATATAAAATAAATATTAATATATAAATAATTAATTTAACGATTTAATATTGTAAATATTTTTTAAAATACTAAGGATTAGTTTTTATAGATTTTGGTGAATAATTGTTTTTGAATTTTGAAGGAGTATTAGTAATTAATAATAATAATGTTTTTTGGGGGACGAACTCTGGTGGCCTTCCAAATTCCAAAGTCTTGACTTCTACGGAGGTTGAAGCTGTCTTTTCACACCTCACTGCTATGCTAACTTATTACGTGTCCTTAAAATATCCACTCTCCTATTTCTCTCTCTCTCTTCCTTTTAAGTCTTGAGAAACAAGAAAAACGCTCTTTGGAGGGAGCCATATCGGCCTGCGTGCCAAACAAATCTCGACCCTCCATCTATCCCATCCAACGGTTCCCATCACTCGGCCAAACTCTCTCTCTCTCTCTCCCTCTTCCCTCGAGCGGTTTTAATCATAAACCCTAGCCGAAACAGTGAGCCACTCTCTCACTCTCTCTCCTCTTAGCGCGCGCTCTTTTCACTTCTCACAGATCTCACTCTTTGCGATCTCGTTCCGAGATTTCTCGCTCTTGTTCCCCTTCAAGCTTCGATTTTTCAGAAACCCCTTTCTCTCTCCCTTTTCCTCTCTCTCTCTCTCTCTCTCTCTCTCTCTCTCATGTTTTTTTAATTTATATATCGGACACGATCGCAGTTCGATTTTCTTCACACCATGGCGTTTCCTTTTCTATAGCATCAGCAAGACCATGTTGCGTCTCTGTTCTCCGTGAAAAAATAACTAAACCAAAAAAAAAAAAAAAGAACAAACCGGTTCAATTCGGTTCGGTTTCCGGTTCAAGTGAAAACCGGGGGTTTTGAAGATAAATACGCGTACGGCAATGCCGGCGGCGGGGACGAGACGAACGACGAGGGTGTTCGGTATGAAAGGAGCCGACTCGGCCCGTGTTTTACGGTCCGGTCGGCGATTATGGCCGGAATCAGGTGAGGTCAAGACCAAGAGAGCCAACGATGGGGACGATTGGCCACCCGCAAAGGCGGCGAAACTCGATGCCACTTCGCCACGTGGCACCTCGAAGGCGAAGCGGGAAGATTCTAGAACCGAGGAGCGGAAGAGTGTGGAGAGGAAGAAGGAACATGAGGCTGTTGTTAATAGGAAATTTGGCATTGTGTATCAGAGGAGGCGGAGGAGGTTGTCGACGGGAATATTAGAAGATTCTAGAAGGAAAGAGAGTGATTGCTGCAGCGTGCTTGCGGTTGTTGTGAGTCCTTGTGCTGGAACCAGTGGAAGCTTTTCGAGGTTGTTGGCTTCGTTGCTGAGGTATGCGACGAGGGTTCGGGTTTCGCCGTTGGAGCTCTTGTCCTTCTTTCTATGTGAGCCGATCCATGGTGCTTTTGCGTCGCGGGGCATGCAGTTCGTGAAGGTTAACGTTGTTATCCTTTTGCTTTTGGTTTGTTATCTTTTTAATTGCCAATTCGTTGGATTCGCGTGTTTGTGTATTTATGGGATGGGAGTGGTGAATAACAGATAATAAGTTTTTATTTTAGAGTGTGATTGGGGGTTAGGCTCTGGAGGGAAGGACATTTTTTTAAAATTTCTAATTAACATTCTCTACTTTCATTAATTTTTTTGAAATAAAAATGAAAATGATGGATTAGACAACCTTAATTTTTTTCTTTTGTTTACTTTATAAATATACTCATTAAAGTTGAAAATTAAATATTTGCCCCCCCTTTCCTTCTCTTTTATAACAAACCCATAAGGATTGTAATTTTACTATAGTTGATATAACGAGTAATAATACGGGTTTGTATTAGAGTTTTGAAATTTGTTTGGGTTGGTGGTAGGATCTTGAAAAATCTTCGTGCTTACTCCTTTATTTTATTGAAATTGATGCCGTCCCCGTTACATATGTGTTCCTTCACTTGCGGTTCCTTGAATACATTATTTTGGGCATCTTTTGCCAGTGATTTGCTGTTGTGTGTTTTCAACCTGCTCCTCTCTACCCAATGCTTGTGTCCCTGACTTCTGTGTGTGGTCGGTTATTCAAACTTAAACTTGACTGTAACACACTAGATACTTTGCATATTTTGCTTTGTGGTTGGCATTCTGCTGCATATGTTAATAAAAATGATAATAGAATGATATGGCTTAGTAGAGACTAAGAATTTATTTACACTGGTTATTTAATAAATATAAACTGGCTTGTCAATAGTAGCAGGAGCATTTTGTGGGAAAAAAGAATCAGTGTTTAGTTGTTGGTTTTGAAGGTTTTATTTTTCCCGTGATCCAACGTTGTTTCTGATTTTTATCATCTTTCAGGGTCCTCCTGCTGTCAAAATTGGAATATGCCAGTTCTTTGAGATCATGGAGTTGCCGTTGTTCTCAGTTGACTTTTCTGCTGTTCCTCTTTACTTTGAGTATCTGCATTCTGCGATGCTTTTGAAACCTGTGTTTAGGTCATTTTTTCTTGTACATAATCCAATAAATGTGCTTAGTGATGTTGAGGATGATGAGGCTGATGATGATTTACCAGTATATCAGAATGAACAGCAGACCTTCAAGAGAGAACTTTCTGAGGCTGCAACTGATACACCTGATGTTATTGTAATTGATGATTGTTTATCCTTACCTTCTTCTGTTAAGGCTACCAGGGTTGCTGGTCGAAATGGACAATATAGGAACATTTTGAACTCTAGAGGCATTCAGAAGAGAAGAAGTTCACTCAGGAAAAGGAAAGTTCGTAATCCTTCAATGTTGAGTTCACGCAGAAGTAATGGAACAGTTTCTTCTGATTTAATGGGTGGTAGGAAAAGCAATAGCCAATTGTCTGGTGTGACCCCTAGCAAGAAACTTAGGAGTTTGGCCAATGGTAGCGCCACTGGAAGCCTGGAAGAAGCAAGTTCTGCCACAGTGGATTCAAAAGAAAGGCTGGATTCATCTCTCTGTTCTGCAAACTTATTGGTTACTGAGTTGGACCAATGCTACAGGGTAGAGGGAGCAATGGTCACTTTAGAGATGTCGGCTCCAACAGAATGGGTTCTCACTGTAAAGAAAGATGGATTAACTAGATGCACATTCAAAGCAGAAAAAGTGATGCGGCCCTCCTTGTCCAATCGGTTCACCCATGCGATAATGTATCAATTGGACAATGGTTGGAAGCTGGAGTTTGCCAATCGCCAAGACTGGAATGTCTTTAAAGACCTTTATAAGGAGTGTTCTGATCGAAATATGCCTGCTACTGCCACTAGATTTATCCCAGTTCCAGGAGTGCGTGAGGTCTCATCCTATGCGGAAACTAACAGTTTTCCCTTTCATAGACCAGATGCATACATATCTGCCATTGGTGATGAGTTAACTAGAGCAATGACAAGGACAGCAGCAAATTATGACATGGATTCTGAAGATGAGGAATGGCTGGAGAAGTTCAATAATCAGTTTCAAGATCATGTGTCAGAGGATAATTTTGAGTTAATTATTGATGCTTTAGAGAAGGTTTATTACTGTAATCCAGATGATTCTCTTGATGAGAAATCTGCAGCTAATGGTTGTCTGGATCTTGGTAGCAAGGAAGTTGTAGAAGCTGTATATAACTATTGGACGAGAAAGCGGAAGCAAAAACGATCTTTTCTGCTCAGGGTTTTTCAGGTAAATTTTCAATCATGTTTTAGATATTTTATTGTGTGCGCGCTGGGGGGGGCAGCATGTTAATTATAGATTGCTAGTTAAGTCATCTTGCAGTCAAAATACAGATCATTCGGGACCTGTGGCTTAAACTGTTTCTCCTAATTTTTTTTCATATGAATTAATTAAAAATCTGGATGAGTACATGTATTATAGTTAATATACTGTACTTCCATTAGCCACTGTCAGTGCTAATATGGGTTTGAGTCCATATTAATGGAGTTCATTTTCATTCTTCTTGCTTGTTGGCAAATGTCATCATGTAAACTAATTCAACAATTGCATGTAAATTTATTCCTTATGACTGTTTTGTTTCTTCCTGAAGTTTTTCTGAAATCAGAATTATTTCTTGTCCAAAATGATAAAATTCATATTTTTACTCTATAGGAGTAAAGATTTATCAGGTCAATGAGTATTAATTTTATGTTATAAAGTAATATGGTAATGCTCAAGATGTATTAGGAACAGAAAACTACCCAGGAAAAGGACTCAACTGAATGTTGGAATACTAAATTTATTATTCAATTCAAAAGGGATATTCACAATGCCTTAATGACTTGGGCTCATGAGACGAATATGATGCTCTGTCACTTACACCAGAGAATGGAAAAATATACACCTTCACTGCACACACCTTCCCCTGTACTAATTGTTGCGAGTATTCCCCCTCACTACTCACTGAATCGTAACAGAAGCCCACCTGATGCTCAGCATGTGATCATTTTCTAGAGACTACATTGTGTACCCTATCAACTTTTCACACTCACGGCCACGTCCTCTACTATTTCCAAAACATTGATTGATTTCAAGAGTAAACAAATGAGATCTCAATCCGTCACTCTTTCATGTTAAAATTGGACTTGAGAGGATTTATTCCCTCATCAAGAAAATAATGATTGAATAGTTTATATTTTGTAAATCACCATTACAAGCACAGATGGAAACATGTATTTAAAGCATCGAGAGAAGATAGTTTACATTGTGTGGTGTTATACAATGTAGCACCTAACTTATGATAGTAATATCTTATTCAGAATCTTACATGATGTCTCACCAAACACTAAATAGTTAAAAAAAATTTATCAGGCTGTATACTACATGGGCTTGTATTTTTAAGTTATGATGTGTACCCAGAAGGTCCTTATAATTTTTGTTATCAGTGGATATTTGGTGTGTGGATATTGATAAATATGCCTATAACATTTGCCTTAATCACCTTTGTTACATCTGTGTATCTTTTAACATATGTCTGTCAAGCTATATATCTTTTATCTGACATTATTCTATATGGTCTTGTACTATCAAGCTATCATATGTACCAAACTGGTCCATGTATTTTCTGTAACCGGTGGGCATGGGTGTTTGAATGTTGATACTTATGCCTACATCATTTGCATTGATTGCCTTGATAACAGCTATATAACTCTTACCATATTCTTCCCTTCTTTTTCTTTGCCAATCTTAGTTTAGATACTTCGGTTGGGTATAATATATCCTGTTGGGCACGGCATTGTTGCAAAATTCAGTACTGCATTACATCCCCATTATCTGATTGACGTGGTTGAGTTAATTGTGTCAGGGTCATCAATCAAAGAGAGCTCCACTAATCCCGAAGCCTTTACTGCGGAAAAGGAGGTCATTTAAGAGACAACCAAGTCAGTTTGGGAGAGGCAATCAACCAAGTGTGTTGAAAGGTAATTTTATGACCTGTCTTCAACAAGATGGAATGTAGATTTCTTCTATTGAATGCTGTGAATTTGAATTCATTGACCTTCACCACAATTGTGTTGAATTTTGATGTAGTGGTTTTTCCTTGACCACGTTTAGTCTTTTGTGTAGATGAGCCTTTCTTTTGGCATTCATCTTACGCAATACAAGTATTGACCTGTTTGTTCAATGATCTTGTTTTGTGGCTGGTTCTTTGAATCAAATGATTTTGGACCTTTTCCCTGTTTATACTCATTTCATATTTTATCATATATCTTTTAACTGCATGTGTATATTCGTCCAATTCAAATGTTTTGATTTGGCAACATCATAACTTTGCAGTAAATTCTGCTACTTATGTTGATGTTTAGAAGAATTAAGCTCTTGAATATGCCCCCTTCCACTTCCTCATCAACCCCCATGTCTGAGTCTACAGTGATTTGTGTCTGAATGCAATATATGTATAGGTTTCTAGAAGGATCTATTATGAGAGTAAGATTGCTGTCAATTTTGTTTGGGATATTATTGCCGACTATTAAATGTTGTTGGGTTTTGTATTCATCTTATAAGTCATGTTGGACTTCATTTAATAAGCATTTAAATTGCAGGTGTTTGCTAATGTATACCAGTGCATTTTATAAAAGTTTGTCTGATCTTCTATTCATTTTCAGCTATTGCAGCTGAACAAGATGCCTTGGAAGAGAATGCAATGCTTAGGATTGAACAAGCCAAAACCTCTGCGAACATATCCATGGAATTAGCCGTACAAAAACGGAAAATGGCTCAAGTGCTTGCCCAGAATGCAGATTTGGCCACCTACAAGGCCACGATGTTGATTAGAATAGCCGAAGCAGCTCTTGCTGCAGAATCAGTAGATGCCGCAGCAGAATATTTTCTTGATTGATGGTTAGATCAATTCCGATGCTAATTAATTATAGCACAAGTTTATCACAGGATGGGTACAGTGGATTTGCTGCTGTGTTCTTTTATTGTAAACATTGTATAGATTTTTGTATGTACAACTTGGATTGAAATGAAGACCTCACCGAACTTTTGTAAGAGTAGATTGGTTGATTTACTTTTTTCGGATGAAAGAATTCTAAGAATATGGAAATAATATAAAAAAAGAAATACGGGATTTCTAAGCCTCGATCAGGTGCCGCTTTAGTTATTAGCTTTTGGGTCCAAAACAGTACATGAAAGCAAATCGAAGAACCACAGGTCCACACCAGCCCAAAGAAACGGCCGAATAATGATAAAAAAAAATGCTTGCCTGTGCCTCTTAAGGTTTACCTTTAGAGATGCTAATTGGATTTAAATATGTTTACATCTTACTAAAATGATCGTGTAGTTAGTTTTGATGTTTTATTGTTTGGATTCATGTATATTTTATCTTTTTCTTGAAATGTATAGGCCCCCTTAAGTGGTTATTATATATTTATGCATTATTTCTACCTGTAAGTTACATAACTATCTTTCTTTTTTTTAAATCTCTCAAAAAGTATGTATTCTATTGGTATATAACAATTATTCTTAGTTATATTATCTTAATTATTGAGACTTGTGTATCATGTCATTCAACCATCCGGATTATTTTTAAAATTTATTGAAATAGTTTTTAACCTAGGCAAATGTCAATTATTTTAGTTCTGTGAATTCATCAAAATAGTATATAATCTAAATATACTTTCATCTGGCTATCTACTAGTTTTGAATTAAAGCTGAAGGTGCTACAAAGTGTAGCAGAACCAAATAAACTTTCATCTGGGTACAGGTGTGAGTGTTGGTTGGAGAGCGATAAACTCAGTAGTGCCGCTGAAGAAGGAAGGAAACCAAAGTTGAGACTTGAGAAGGCTACGCTCTTTAACCTTACAGTTTCTACCCTCGCCTTTCTACGCTCTTTAAATTTCAAACTCAATTGACTTTTTCAGGGCCTAATTTCTTTCGCACGCAGGGAAGGTAAATGATTTTAAATTTGGGCCATGCACTCCAGTCCATTACAATTGGGTTTCAGATAGGTTAAAATGAATAGAACAAAATCTAAAATAAGATTGTGCACATTGTTGTGTATGATACACGAGATCCTCATATTTCATGAATCCAACTTGGATTTTATGATAAACATTTAATTAACTTAGAAATATTTGTTAGCATCAAATTCTTTATATTTTACCGTTCCTTGAATTTTGTAACATTCTTTCTCCATTTTAAATGATTTATACTCTCAATCTGAACTTTTTATTTTACTTAAAAATTTAACGGTAAATGAAGTAATAAATTATAATCCGGTAAATTTAAATTAAATGAAAGGTTCAAGTTGAGTGTTAAGAGTTTATAGACTTATATCGATGTAAGAAGATCCTTCCCTATATATATATAAATATATATGATTCATAATATGAATAAAATATATTTTTATAATTTAAAATTTATAATTAAAGTGAAAGCCAAAATTTCATTATATGTATATAATTCAAGTTCATAATATAAATAAAACTGTCTTTCAGTAAATTAAATTTCTAACTAAAGTTGAATATAAATTAAAATTTAAAGTAACTAACTACTAAGTATTACACATACACCTTAAATCACCTTTTATAATATGACTTATCAAAACATCATAAACTCTAAAATCAATATTTGAAATAATTACATATTATTATTAACTCTAAATGCAAACTTAATTAATATTATTACTTTCCTAAAAATAAACTAAATTTTAAGAGAATAGTTTTCTCCCCTACAATCCACTGCGAATATGATCTTAAGACAGATCTATCTTTTTTTATCTCTTCATTACCTAAAAATATTTATAAAGGTAAGTATCCTCCTCTCCACTAAATTTTTATTTTATAAAACTATCAAAATAATACTGAAAATATTTTCTAATACAACATGTATATCGCAACCAGTTAGTTGCAATGGTACGACAAAAAAACATTTTAAGAAAAATATTAGAAGAATAAAAAAATGTTTTCTAAAAAAATTAGAGGAGTTGCCATCAAAATTTATTTTAAAAAAACCTTAGAAAAACTTTTAAAATAATATGATGTTTGAAACCAAAATGAGTTAGTGAGCCATTTACGTATTGGGAAGGTATTAACACCTTATAATTATCTTAAATTAATTGTGTAAATTTATTTTAATTTTAAAATATATTTATTTAACCCCTATACAATAGTTATTTTTATTTTTAGAAGGAGAAAAATTATTTATCAAAATGTTAACTCGTATCTTAAAAGAAAAAAATTATTTTGACTTGATGGATAGGATTGCTGCTCCTACATATCTCCAGGTGTAATAAAAAACTCAAAGTCACGTAGTTCTATTTAAAAATTATGAATTTGATTAATTAAAATTAAGTTTAGTAAGAGAATATTTATTTTGAAATTAAAATTATTTTCATAAAATTATAATGTTTAGGATAAAGGATAATATGACTATACATGTACCCTACAAGAAACAATATAGAAGGTGAAGGAAGATCACACAACTATAATGTAAATCATTAAAAATATTTCATTTGTAAACGAAGTATTTGAATTTAAATTTTAATTATGATTAATGTTAAAAGAAAATTTAAGATAACATAAAATATACATAAATCTCTTATAATTTTTTATACAATCAAAGGCAATGTCAATCACACATTGATGTTGCAAAAATTTGTACGGTAAAATGAAGAAATGATTAATTATTTAAATTTTTTAAAATTAGAAATATGACTTAAGAAAATTTAAAATATAAAATTAATTTCATTTAATGAATGGAATAAATATATTTAAATTTTTAAAAATAAAACAACAAATAAAAAATAAAGATAAAAAAGTAAAATTATTTAATAAAATGATTAAAATTTTTGATAAATTTATATTGTATAGAATCTAAGGTAACGTTGGTATACATAGATTTTAACAATTTATAATGCATAAAGGTAGAGTCATTATACATTAGCATTATAAATTATTGTGTTAATAAAATAAATTCTATTTAAATTGATTGATTAGTAAAATAGTAATTATAGAGAATATATTTTGATTGATTATTAAGATAATTAAAATATTAATAACATATGATAAATTAATATTGCCTAAAGCCTCGGTAACATAAGTACACGTACACTTTATCAATTTATAACATATGACAGTAGAGAAGTTACACGTTAATGTTATAAATTGATGCAATTATATTATTTATTCCTTGATCATAATATAAAATAAATTTATGAAACATATATATATATATATATATATATATATTTCATATTCATTAAATAAATAAAAACAAACACGAATATAAAATCAAATTATTTCAATATTCTGAATTTACACAAAATAATAAAATAATAAAAAAATACTAAGAATAAACAACTCAAGAATAAATTAATTAATTAGACAAGCAAAAATTCAATAATTATTATGAATTTTTATTATTATTTTATTTATCTCCTATTACTTTTAGTGAGAAGGGGTACATCTGTAATTAAAAATAAAAAGAAAATCTAAAATAATAAAAATAGATGTTAACATCGTAATTTAAAATAAAATACCACAAATTATTTAAAGATAAAAAAAAAAGTGAGATGATTTTATTAAAATAATTTAAAAGTACATAAATAAATAAATGGATAGAAACTGGAAATAGGGAAATAAATAAATAAATATTCATTGTTTTATATTTTTTTTAAACTTAAAATACCCTTCCGTTTAAACAGTGGGCTACCTAAGCCCAAAAGAAACAAAATAACATAATCGAAATAATAATAAATGAATAATAATAATAAAATAAAAAAAAAAGGAACCGAAAGTAAGATTTGGAAATGTACTGGCATGGTAACCGTACTGCAAAATGTTAACAGATGTGTGCTTTCTCCTCCTTCATTGTTCTTTTTTGTTGTATTTTGTTCCAAAGATCTTTTTTCCTTTTTTTTTGGATCTCTTAAAAGAAAAAATTTCTAAACAAATTTATAGTTGCTAAAATTTTCTTCTTCCGAAAGTTCTTTTAGATCATCTCTAAACAATGCTTTATTTATTTTTTATTCATCTGAAAACTTGTTCTCTCTTTTTTTTAAAATTATTTTTTTACTTTCTTCCATCAAATTTCTAAAAAAAAACTCTCTTCGAATTTTTTATTTGAGTTCTTTATACTCCTTTCAATCTCACGTTTTTAGAATTTTATAAGATGCCAAATTTTTTAGCTTTTTTCTTTTTTATGCTTAAAATAGATTTTTGATATTGGGTTTAAGTTTGTATAGTGCAAGTTTCTTGGGATCGATCCTTTTCAAAAATTTTATTTTTTTATAAAACAATTTTATTATTTTATTATTTATATATTTTTAAAAGATAGAGGCAAAAAATTTGTTTTCACAATGTATTAAAATAGAAACAATTCATTTATAAAATTTTGATTAAATAGAAATCATTCATACACATCAGAAAATGAAATGAAATTATGGGCTATGTTTAGTAAAACATGTTGGTTGTGTTTAAATAAAATCAATCGATAAAATAAACTAAACATTATTTTGACCTATTTAATAAAAATAGCTAAATTATAATTTATAACTTATAAGTTGATAAACTGGTTGAAAACTTATATGTGAAATCTTATATTTTATAATTAGTTAATTAAATTAAAATTATTTAGTAAAATTAGTTAAAATATATTAAATGACTGAAAAATAAGTAACATTATAATTGAACAAAGAAAAATTTTATTTTTAAATAATAATATAAATAAAATAAAATAATTAAAACTATAAATTAAATGCTAATTTAATAAATTTTTTAAAAACTAACTTTTAAAATAAAATAGCTCTTTCTTTTTTACAATTATCAAATAGTACGAACCTTTTTTTCAAATATTAAATTATGAGCTATAAGCTCTGGAACACAAGTTTTCAAACTGCATAACTCCAATATTTTTTCATTTCTTAAGGGAAAAATTTTAAAAATTAAATTAGTAAATATCATATTGCATTACTTTATTTTAACAGAATATATATTTTTAAAATATAAAAATATTAAAACTTTAAATATTATACCTACAAATATATAAATTATATAAAATAATATTAAATGATGTAAATGTTTTAGCTTAATATTACTAATAAATGTAAGTATCTTTTGAACGAGTGTTGGTTTAGGTGGGATTAGATTAGGTTGCTAGTTGCTGCTGATACCTGATCAATTCAGCGAACTTTGATGTTGACTAAAGAAAAAATTATCTTTCATATATTTTAAAGGTAAATTTTGTGTTACTCTTAAAAAATTTTAAGGTAGCATAGATGAAAAATTCTAATCAATAGATACATATTTAAATAATAAATTATTATATTTATTATATTTAAATGAACTGAACAGTAATTAAGTTTTTTTTTAAAAATAAGACGTAATTAAAATTAAATAAATTAAAATTTAAAAATAAAATAATAATATTATATGTATATTTTTATATTCTTAATTCTATTATTATTAATATTTAATTATTATATTAATATATTATGTTATAATTTTTTATTTATAATAAATAAAAATTATATTCTATTCAAAATTTAAAATATCTATACACATGTTTAAATAATAAATTTATTTAATAATAAATTATTATATTTACTACATTTAAACAAGTTAAAAAATAGTTAAGTTTTTAAACAAAAATAAAATGCAATTAAAACTATACGAACTAAAATTTTAAAATAAAATAATAATATTATATTAATATATTTTTTATATTTTTAATTCTATTATTATTAATATTTAATTATTATGTTATATATATTATGTTATAATTTCTTTATTTATAATAAATAAAAATTACTTAAATATAAATTATATTTTATTTAAAACTAAATTTATTAAAAAATGATAGAAAAAAAAATTTAATATACAATATATATATATAATAATAGAATCATGTAGTAAATAATATAATTTTAAATAAATTATATATAATATTTTTTCAATTTGTCATTGGTATAAATTTTTTTGATTTCTGTAGTAAAAAATAAAATTAAGATACAGCACAGCACACACCTTATTTCAAATGCTGCAGAGAATAATTATTAATTAGTGTTTGGCCATCATGTGTCCAATACCATTTACCTGTGATTTCCGTCAAAATCCCTTTTTATTTTTTTTTAATTTATTATGTATCCAATCTAGAATATGAAGAAATTGTTTCCTTCAAAGCTAGTACAAATTTTTTTGATACCAAACAGAACCACTTACTATTCAGAGTTCATACTATAAATAAGAGCGATAAGATGCACCAAAGTTGCTAAAAAGAACATGGCTTTCAACAAGATTGGTTTCAGCAGCACACACACGTTTGTTTTTTCCTTTTATTATGGTTTTAGGACAATTGGTTCCTTAATTTAAGTGCTTAGCAAGAGGAAAGCTAGACTCCAATCATATTACTCGTTGAGTCCTTTTTTTTACTTTATTTAAAAATAAAAATGAAGGAAATAAATAAACTATTAATTATAATGTTTTTATATTTTAGAAATTAAAAAAAATTTCAAATAAGTCACTACTTTCATTATCTATTTATATAAAATTAATTGTGATAATTATTATATGTATTAGAAAATATAAAATACTCTCTTAATTTAAAAGCATAGCAAAAATTATGATACTGTAAATTTGAGAGATTATTAAATATTCTCTTTAAATAAATTTTTATAATTTCTTTATTATTTTATAAATTAAAGTATATTTATATTTTTAAAATAAACTAGTAATTTTACTAAGTATTCATGTGTGCAGGTGCAATTCTTCTGGGAGACAATAATATGAAAAAAGTGGATGCTAAAATTTGCCCACAAATATGCTACGATGCGGCTTACATGACTTGCCCATCTTCAGGTGATAAGCACCTCGCTCCAAGATGCAACTGCTTCTTGAAAGCTTTTCTCTTGTTATGGATTCCAATAAGTTGAATGCAACAGCTGAACGTTGTGTCTTTAGCTTCATTCTCTTTCTTTTTCCTTTTTCTTTTTCAATTTGATAATATAGACCCTCATACTACGTACAGATCACACAAGTCATGGAACAATTTATCGATCATCATTCAAACATAACTGGCAAAGAAAACAGCTCCTCAGACAGTTGTTTTTGGCTTATTCTTCCTGCTGTGATTATTATAAGAGAAAATGATATATATAAATATTGTATTTCTAAAATCATTAAGTAGATAGTGAATCTTTGAGAGAGAGCAATCGTCCATATTTAAGAGAGCGGTTAAAACGAACCGCTCTTTGTCTGGAATTGATATCCCATCTCTTTCCCTTATATTGAAAATCTAGTAAGTTAGTTTAGATTAAGCCAACCCCATCTCAAGATCGAGGTGAGACCGATCCAAAGATCCTAACCCTCAGAGGATGAAGTAACGGGAAATAATGATAATGGTAAACCAGATTGATGATTCGAAGTGAGGGACAAGCCTGTGGTCGCAATGCCGCCTCCACTCCAGCCTATCCTAGGCTTTTTATAAATCAACTTTCACTGCCATATACCCCACCCGTCCTTTATTTTTATGCATTGAGTGGATTAATTATGGTACTAGGATAGCATTATCCATCCCTATTCTCCCCGGAACGAAGCTTGTGTCTGCATGGGCGAAATGAGCTTGTCAAGGTTTTTATTACTTATATTTTATTTTTTATAAGGAATGGTCTTATCCTGTTGACACAACTCCCAAACACCCTGAGAAGTGAGAGAGAGCATGCTTTATGTTATGAGATACATATCTTAAAGTATGAATTATGTACATATCAGAGTCAGCATCATTTTTATCACAATATTATCAGGTAAGGTGGGTAAACTACAAGATGCTGTGTATGTTAGAGATAGATGCATATGGAGTCTGGACTAATATTTTAGAAAAAAGAGAAAACAACATTGATTTTACACTTTGATGGTTAGTTAGCAAATATGCGTTTGGAGCAATGTATGCTAACATGATTTAGTGTATTTGTGAAGTGATTTTTGTTATGCTTGAATATTGGTGATAAAAATCACATTTTCAATGTGCAATTACCAAAAGGAGTATGCTTCTTCTGAACACAAGAAAATGTTATTGACATTGTCATGGTGAAAGGATGACTAACATCTTATTTGAGGATTATAATTTTCGTTCCCTATTTGTTAGAGTGATATGATGAATTGTAGAAAAGAATCAATAGAATTGATAAGTGTCCATTATATTGTCATCCATTCCTGAGAAGTTTTTTCATCAGTCTTCCTGACTCTTTATCTTTATATAAAAAGGAAGTTACTAAACAAAGAAATGTAACCTCAAGGAAGTATGTACTACAAGAATACCAAAAATTTACTCTCATTCTTGAGTAAATCATAAAATTTCTATTTTTATGTGTTTAACATTGCTTTGCAAACTTGCATTGCAAGCGACCCAATTTGCATTTCAAAATTAGATTGGTAGCATGATACATTTTGATTAACCCCAAATTAATGTTTCTAACATGAAATTGTATTGACAGATGGCTGTCAGGAAGTGCCTTGAAACAAGTGGCGATGTTTGGTTGCCCTTCCATTGACAAAAGTAGTGTCATTCCTGCCAAAAGACTGCGAAAATTTTTTGAGGTTTCAGAAAACACTGTAAGATATAGCATGCATGAAGAGTACTTTCATTATGTTATTTTCTAGTTTATATATACCTATGTTATTTATAATTTTTGTTTATACCAGGTTTGCAGTGAATGTTCGCTACGACAATTGTGCAAGTTTGCCAATCAAAATGTTTGGAAATGTAACACCAATAATTTGGATTTGGAAGTAGTTATGAAGGTTATTACTGCATATGCTATAGAGTTTGTGCATCCCCAGTTGGTAGTGCCTAATGAAGTAAACAAGTCAGTGAGTCAATTGCTAGAGGAGGTTGTGAAACTTAGTCAAACCACATGAAATTGTTTCTGGTAGAACTAACAATTTGTTTAACATTTTCTCACAAATATCTGTGACATTGCTGAGATACTCATCACATGAGGTGAGATTCGCGATATCAGGCGTTGCAGACTATTTTTTTAGATTACATAACGAATGCTTAAGGCATAACTTGAAAGTTGTTATTGGTTGTTTTAAAATCACTTTCTCTGTCACTTAAGCGTCCAACAATGCTATTATTTTTAGCTATTATTTTTAGATTTTACATGAGATTATAAGGCTTTCATGTGTTGAATAGTGTGATATATGAATGAAACTCGCTTAAGTATGATACTACTACTAATATGATAACAACATCAATATTATTACAATTGTATAATGATGGCAATTCACCATCAATAGCTGGTACATAAACTTTTTATGTGATGGTAATAGATTGTATATTCTGGTAATGGTGTTGATCACTTAAGCGAGTTTAAAACTCGCTTAAGCGAGAATGAAACTGCATCCTGCAGTTTCTGCCAGAACTGCAGGCGATCCGGATCTCAAATCAAACCATTCTTGCTAAGACACCAGGCTGCCTATATATATGACCTCCGTACATTCCCTACAACCACAGGCACTTACTCTATCCAAAGAAATATGACTTGCCACTCATCAGAAATTTTAAAATCCAGAGGTAGATAATGTAGTTGAGTTCACTTTTTTCACCAGAGCATCATTTGAAAACTAATAAGCTTGTGCAACAAGAATAGTAATCTCAAAAAATAGTCTGCAACGCTTGATATCACGAATTCCATCTCATGTGATGAGTATCTTAGCAATGTCACAGATATTTGTGAGAAAATGTTAAAACAAATTATTAGTTCTACCAAAAGCAATTTCATGTGGTTTGACTAAGTTTCACAACCTCTTTCAACAATTGACTCACTCACTTGTTTACTTCATCAGGCACTACTAGCTGGGGATGCAAAAACTCTATAGCATATGCAGTAATAACCTTCGTAACTACTTCTAAATCTAAATTATTGGTGTTGCATTTTCAAATATTTTGATTTGCAAACTTGCACGATTGTCGCAGCGAACATTCACTGCAAACCTGGTGTAAACAAAAATTATAAATAACATAGGTATATATAAGCTAGAAAACAACACAGTGAAAGTACTCTTCATGCATGCTATGCCTTACAGTGTTTTCTAGAACCTTAAAAAATTTTCGCAGTCTTTTAGCAGGAATGACACTACTTCTGTCAATGGAGGGGCAACCAAACATCGCTACTTGCTTCAAGGCACTTCCTGACAGCCATCTGTCAATACAATTTCATGTTAGAAACACTAATTTGGGGGAAATCAAAATGTACCATGCTGCCAATCTAATTTTGAAATGCAAATTAGGTCGCTTGCAATGCAAGTTTGCAAGGTAATGTCAGACACATAAAAATAGAAATTTTATGATTTCCTCAAGAATGGGAGTAAATTTTTGGTATTCTTGTAGTACATACTTCCTTGAGGTTACATTTCTTTGTTTAGTAACTTTCTCTTTATATAAAGGTAAGGAGTCAGGAAGACTGAAAAAACTTCTCAGGAATGGATGACAATATAATGGACACTTATCAATTCTATTGATTCTTTTCTACAATCCATCATATAACTCTAACAAATAGGAAACGGAAATCATAATCCTCAAATAAGATGTTAGTCATCCTTTCACCATGACAATGTCAATAACATTTTCTTGTGTTCGGAAGAAGCATACTTCTTTTGGTAATTGCACATTGGAAATGTGATTTTTATCACTAATATTCAAGCATAACAAAAATCACTTCACAAATACACTAAATCATGTTAGCATACACGGCTCCGAACGCATATTTGCTAACGAATCATCAAAGTGTAAAATCAATGTTGTTTTCTCTTTTTTCTAAAATATTAGTCCAAACTCCATATGCATCTATCTCTAACATACATAGCATCTTGTAGTTTATCCACTTTACCTTATAATATTGTGATAAAAATGATGCTGACTCTGATATGTACATAATTCATACTTTAAGATATGTATCTCACAACATAAAGCATGCTCTCTGTCTCTCACACTTCTTAGGGTGTTTGGGAGTTGCGTATTATAGCAGAAGGGAAAGAGAAGACAAATTTTTTATTTCTTATTAATATTCTCTAGTTTCATATATAGGTATAAACTTAATATGCCAATCTTGTATTTACTTTTATAAATATTTAAATTTAAAAAAATAAATTGTCTTCCTCTCCCTTCTCCTCCAAAATCTAACTTTCAAAGTAAAAGACAATGGCTTTGCATTCTCTTCTACTTGATTGGATAAACTTGAAATATTTAAGGAATTGTTTGGTTTCTAAAAGTAATTTCTGTTTTTTCTTTTAACTACAAGAGTGACAGTTTATTTTCTATTTTCAAATATTTGCATATTTTCCTATGTAAATATTTTAAAACAGTAGTCAAAATAAAACAAGGGGTCATTTTTTAATTAAAAGTAAAAACATAAAACATTTTCTAAATCTTTATTGTATTAATAAACATGATTAGTCCACATTCTCACAAAACTAAACATGTTACCAACCATTTAACAAGACTTTAAAGTGCAAAAATAAAAAGCGGTCATAATCATAATCATGAGCATGATGGTCTTACTTGGCAATTTCTTCATTATCTCTGGCAAATTTCTGAGCAACGAACTTGACATAGCCTCTGGCGAAAAGGTTATCGAACCGAGCAAGGTCAAAACTTCGCTTCCCCTATACGAAATTAGCATCCCTAAAATACCCTTTCTCGTACAAGTACTGAATGAACATCACAGCATCATCCGAAAGATCCTTAATAACCACTGGTTCCTTGGGCTTCACTTCCTTCACTTTGTGCGTGGCAACAGTGTCAGGTGGTTGCTTAGTAAATAGAGCGAACAATTTATTATGATTTTGGCCATGCTATTAAGTGAAGTCGTTACTGCAACATGTATCTTAGGTTCTCTACTACATCTTCTTTTACTTCATAATCTTAGAAGCTTTTGTATCTTTCTGTTTCCTAATGTCAAGCCTTCTTTTGACTCTTCCATCCTTAGAAATTGAACACAATCTTATCAACATTGACCACCACAACTCTCCAATTAATGCTTACATTGTTCTTTTCTTAGCATTGCATCCCTTTCCACTCCTTTCTTTCCTAGTTAGTACAACATACCACTATGATATGCATGATATATAATGGTCACTTATAATTAGTCAACTCAACATTAAATTGTATGATTCAAAATTATTCACTGATAAAAGAATTGAGATGAAAACTAAACAAAAATATTTGTAGGGATTGAAACCAAATTTATAGATATTTATAAAAAAAATAAAAATTAAAGTGATTAGGAAGACACACATCATTATATTGAGTTTGATTTTCATTAGCCAATTTAAAATTTAACATAAGTCACTTAGCGGTAGATACCAAAATCATCTGCTTAAAATATTTGGGACCTAAACCTAACAAGAATAAATTAGAGACTAAATTATTTAAACAAATACACTTTTCACACCTTTGTATTTATAAAAGATTAAAGTTGAACATAAAAACCCACAATTTAATAGTTATTTTATAATTTTAAAATTGATTTGAAACAAAATTGATAACATATTGATTTTTTTTATGGTCTAAATCACATATAATTTTTTATAGGAAATAATTTTATTCGAATTGAGTAAAATTATAAACAATAATTTTTTTAATATTTAAATAAAGTTGTATCCATTGTAATTTATATTTGAAATCACAAAATATATTATTTTATGTTTAATATTTTAATAAAAATAGAAGAATCATCACTTGTTTTATTAACCAACATAGTCCAATACCATCTGGCGAGTGGATTTCTTGCTATCTCTCATTTGTTTTATAAATATTGTCAATTAAACCGACAAGGAAATGAAGGCTAATATAATGAAAATTGAATTGCTCATCACAGTTGACTTACAGTTGCCTGATACAAGTGTAATTTGATCACGAGTCCAATAACAATTATATCCCAGATGAGTGAAATTTAGAATTTCTTTTAATAAATTTAAATTAAAAACTATGAGCATATTAGAGTGTGTGATTAACATTTCTCTTAAAATTTATATTAACACTTGATTATTACTATATATTAATAAATTTTAAGTTTTTGTAATAAATGCAATGTATTTAAAATATATATTCATGCACACAAAAAATTAAATACACCAAAGAAATATATTTAAATTTATTTTAACCATATATTATATATATATATATATTATTACAATATATCAATGTAAGGAATTCATTATTATTAAAATAAATGAAATAGGTCTTAATAAGTAATTGGAAATGGTAATGGGAAGAGTTGTGAAGAACGTGAAGCATGCATGGGCATAGGAAGTCATGATTCATTGAAGAGTGCCCAAAATGAAAATAGAAAAACAGCAAATGCCACAATATACCGTGTTTGGACTGCACCTCGTAACCTACCATTCATTGAATATCATCATTTTTTGCTTTCAAAAAGATTTTCTTACGTTAGCATGCAAGATTGGGAAAGTGGCTTTTCTTTTTAACGTTGTAATTTTTTAATATTTTTAAAATTCAAAGATATTTATATTTTTTTAAATCAATTACTAACTCTATTATTTATTAAAATAAAATTATTAATAATAACTATTACACTTGTGAAATATTTTATAATCCTCAGAAATTTTTTTTTTTTATGAAAATAAGTTTAAACACGCTTGGATTTCGTATCTAATTAGGCTATTAACTAAGAAAATATTACCTTTTTTTTTGGGCTGAAGTGCTAAACTTTTTTTTTTCTTTTAAATATTAATATTGTCTTTCTTGTTTTTTTTTTTTTTTTTTTTTTTACTGATATGTTATTTTTTAATTACAAACACAAATAACAAGACTGAAAAAATAGGGTGGTATTTTTAATCTCAAATATTCTACGAAATTAATCAACTTTAACAATCATTAAAGATAAGTCTCGATT